TACAACCTTTCATCTTCGCTCTCAACCCCTTACAATCCTTTTTTGTGCTAAAAAGCAACTCTGCTTGGCTTAAGACTAGATGGCGTTGTGTGATTAGTATTGAGATGTTTGTTAGCGATGATAATGGAATGGTGCACCCGCCTGCGCTGACGGTATACGCTGGCCGGGCACCAGTGGAGGATGATAGAATGAGCATGGTGGCAGGTCAGTTAGCACATCGTGGCGAATTTACTAGAAATTGACTACGATGGTTTCCAGAGGGAACCATGTGGAGGTCGACCTGACATGGTATATTGCTAGCAATGGGGCTACTATCCTCATTAATAACCCCTTACCCCTCAGTATAGAGCTGTTATTACTATATACCAGTAAGTCCTTATAGGTCAAAGAGCACATCGCACCGGTTAAAAATCGACAACCACACAAATCAGGGGGGAAGGGGATTGTTAGTAATGTAGATTGATAACCCCATTGCTAGCAATGTACCATGTCAGGTCGACCTCCACGCGGTTCCCCCTGGAAACCACCGTGTTAAATTCCTGGTGAATTTGTCACGATGGGCTAACTAACCTGACCTCATGCTCATCTTATCATCCTCCACTGGTGCCCCGCCAGCGTAAACCGTTAGCGCAGGCGGGTGCACCATTCCATTATGATCCACAAAAAAAAACCACACAAATCAGCGATTGCCGATCATCTATTGAACGCTGGAACAAATCACTGAATTGAACTATACGCGCCTGAGGTCCTCTCTACTGATCGTCACTAAACAATCTAGTGACGGTAGATTAAGAAAAAACTACTGTCACCTATCTACATTGACATCGCTGTTACTCCAGTCAGCTCATGACCACGGCTAGTGCAACCTAGTCGAAACGTCGAGAGAGGTAAATACCTTTATTTGCCACAAAATTATTCGTGTTAAGACCCGGTTAATAATTTAAATAAAGTTCTTATAGAACAAATCGATAGAATCTTAAATGTATCCATACATACATTCATGGTGATATGAATACGGAAATAGTACGAATGACTCGTACTGCGAAAATATATTCCCAGATATTGTATTGTTAATAATTCATCGACAATAATGTCCCTCGGACGCTGCTTCTAATGTCGTCATGTGATATATACTACAATAAAGGCAGAGGCGTCTGTTTCACTGCGAGTGGTTAACAATCACCAGATATTCATAACGGTGTTGGAGAATTTGGTTATTTAAGATTTAAAAGAAATAATTCACGACTTCGTCCGCGTGGAATTTAACTTTATTTTTCTAAAATAAAAGTAGCCTAAGTTACTTCTTATTACATTCGCTGCTTGCCAAAAAAAGTTCCGTCAAAATCGGTCCAATCGAGATTAAACAGAACAAAAAGATAGACAGACAGACAAAAAATGGTAAAATATGTTATTTTTATGTATGTACCGTATTTACATTCATATGCATGTACTAAAAAACGTTTATTTCAATGTTACAAACAGACACCGCAATTTTATTTATATGTTGTTGTATAGATTACGTACATAAGAACCGAGTATTCGATCTTATTATTATTATTATAATCGCGGAAGTTACTGAGTATGGATAATAATAGTAATAATAATAATCTCAGGACAATTCACACAGCGCCATCTAGACCCAAGTTAAGCTAGCTAAAGCTTGTGTTATGGGTACTAGACAACTGATATAAATACATGGATACATTTTTTTTGTAAATAAATACATATTATACATAGAAAACACCCAGACCGATACAAACAATCATACTCATGAATACAAATGTTTGTACCGTGCTAGGAATCGAACCCACGACCATCGGATAGTAAAGCGGTGTGCTAAACCACTAGACCACCGAGGCTGTCATTGCACACTATGTTATTACACACTAAACAATTACTTGAGTGCTTAGCTTGGGACTAGGTGGCACTGTGGGAATTGTCCTGAGATATTTTTATTATTAATAAAGCTGTGCTCAATAAATATAATTTTACAAAAGTTTTGAAATCGCTTAAAGGTAATTCTAGTATATTTTTATGCCAATTCCCATAAAATACCCATTAAGTTTATCTTAACAATACTTAGTAACAGCAAGTTTGTCTATAAATCCATCATTAATGTTATAAATATATGACGATTTCTTGAAAATAAGTGAAGATTTTTGCGTTAGTTAAACTTTATAACTCTTTCCAAATTTTTATTCGCTCGCTCGCTCCGCTTATGAAATCGCTTGCGCTACTGTCCGCAGCAAAGGGGGAGACGGGTATGCGGCAGGAGGCAATGGAAACGGGCGATGATTCACGTTCCTAGCAATAATGATATCGGAGCGCGACCTGATTATTTATAGAGCAATTGTTGTCTCCCTACGATATCGGGCGCAGCCATAAATTGCCGATTGATAATATTTATATCTTTGTTTTTGTTATCCACGCGACTTATGATAGCTCTTTGTCGCGATTATGATGGGGGTCATAGGATGAAATAGCTTTTAATATAATATCCACATCAATATCACGAGAAAGTCCAAATTTGGTGTAATATTTGGACACAATTGCACTTACTTCGTATTTGCAAGTTGAAGTGGCAGTGGGCTGGTCATATCTGTCGCTGAACCGATGCTCGCTGGAGTAGACGTGTTCTAGAGACCGTGAATTGGCAAACGTAGTGTAGGACGCCCTGCAGCTAGGTGGAGCGACGAAATACGTAGTTGCGGGTAAAAACTGGAAGAGAAGGGCTGAAGATCGTGGCCAGTGGCGTGCCCGGGAGAGGCCTATGTCCAGCAGTGGACTGCAGTGGGCTGATGATGATTGCACTTATTTCTGTGTTGTTGGTAATTGGAGAGAACTTATTAAAAATTATGATAATGAGGTCGGTCAGTTTGCTCGTAACAAGTTATCAGGATTTAATATCTGTCCAATTATATCACCATTGGCTTAGTCGGGAGTACGATACCGTCTTCTATTGCTGGCAGCTTGTCTGCCATTCTTTTTATAAAATTTGCATTTTTGGTATCTGTTATTTATATGTCACTTTTGACTAGTTGTTGTTACTTCTTCGTTGTGGGCCCTTTTGAGAAATAAACACGTTTATTTCAATTATTTCATTCTTAATAAAATTGTCGTTGTCCTCCTGCTTCAGTCACATCTTCATTTATTCTAAGAATTCCTGATTATATCTCGAGTATAGAATTTGCGACTTCGGTGCCAAAATTTACGCAAATACAACCTACGAACGTACTATTTTACAGCACTTTTTCTATTTCTATAGTAAAATCTAGTTCTGGTGAAAGTAGCAAATATAATAGTAGTACTTAAGTAAGTTAAGATACAAGTGCATTCAACGAATTGCCTCGCCATTCAATGTCCGCACGTTAAATTGTTTAAAGCACTATCCTTCGATATTTCAATTGAATTAAATAGCCCAAGTTTATAAATCGGCCATTGTTCCGTTCCACAAATGCGGCGAGTGTGATGTAAATTGTATAAATGTATTTGAAAACAATGAATTGTTTGTTAAACAGGGAGTGACTGGATCTGTCGGCGGCGCTGCCACCGCGTGGAGTGATGGACGCGAAATTAAATTAAAAAAATACTGGTCCGCTTATTTACAGAATAGGGACGAATATGAACAAGCTCTGTTGTCTTAACGCCTTGCTGTTTTTCGGTTCGTTTTTGGAGTTTGCAATAACAGATGGAAATTTTGATATAATATTTCATGATTGCAAACATTAAGATATTGCAATGGAGTCCTTAAATGTAGACGAAGGAATAGCTTGATTGAAATTTGTAAAGTCTGTATGTACCTTACGTGTTTTCTATATCCTGAATATATAAATTTAACCATAAATTTTAATGGATTTTACAGCATTTATTGTCTCTAGAAATAGAAATAATCTTTATTCAAATAAACATTACAAGCACTTTTGAATAGTCATATTTTTATTCCACTACTCATTTGTCATGCAGATTCACTAGAACGAGCAAGAAACTTGTGTGTTGCTCTTTTGAATATATGTTTTTTTTTTTATATAAATAATTACAGTATAACAAGTAAGAGGCATGCGATAATCAACATAGAAATCGCAGTCATTATTAGTGTAATCGGATAATATTGTCAGTGCTATGGATTTGAATTTTTTCTATAAAAACATTATTATCGTTAACGAATTCTTCAATTATATAGTAAGCTTTTTTGCAAAGGAAGTGTTTTATATGAATAATATTTGCCGAATATCTCTGTATAATATTTGTCTTCGATGCCATACTTAGTAGGTGATTGTTAGTAATGTGGACTAACTTACTGACTAACTCCATTGCTAGCTCTGTACCCTGTCAGGTTGACCTTCACACGGTTGCTTCTGGAAACTATCATTATAAATTTCTGGTAAATCTGCCATGATTGTCTAAATGACCAGACCTTATGCTCATCCTTTTATCCTATACTGGTGTATAGCCAGCGTGTAACCTTAATGCAGGCAGTTGCATCATTCCATGAACATCCATAATAAAAATGCTAGATTTGAAAAATATTGTTTGACTCATATAAATGGTGGTATTTTTAAGGTCTCTGGTATGACAGCTTATTGAAATATTTTTTGTCTTTGTGTGTTTTTGGATCGTGTTTCATTTATCTTTATTATAACCAATAGCATACTATTTTATAATTTTGTGTTAAATCAGTCCTTATGAGACTATCTTACTAATATTATAAACGCGAAAGTTTGTGAGTACGATGGATGGCTGGATGTTTGTTACTCTTTCACGCAAAAACTACTGAACGGACTTTGATGAAAGCTTACAGTAACATTGCTTATATATATAAAGATTTTAGGTAAATAGGGCGAAATATGTTGATAAATGTCAACAAAGTGTAATGCAGACGAAGTTGCTTGGATCAGCTAGTAATAGTATAATTTTTTGTCTTGTGTTTTAGAATATGTTATTTTGAACAATTTAAATGATAGTTTATGTATATAAATTAAAGGATGCACTATAAATTCGCTTTTAAAAACTTTTATTTTCAGTTTTTGTATCACTTTGATCGTTCTCAAATTCATCTTCCACCTTCAGTAGGACGTTCAGGACCTGTCTTTTAACCTGATTCTGGAACTTTCGTGGCAATCTCTTTGTACTTTGACAGACGCTGGCGAAGAATAAGTCTAAAGAATCCTGGTCAGTGGACGAATTTCCAGGGTCCCACACTTCTGACTCGTGATCTGATTGTTCCTCTGCTTCCACCACTTTCACGTCATCTTTTATGTGTCTCTGGTTCCTGGAAATCACAATGGTGTTTAAATATTAAAAAAACATTACAAAATTGTAATTCCAATTGTGACCCGAGTAATTAAATAGTATCGTTCTTAAACTCGAAAAATTAAATTTAGCATTATTTATTCATTTTCTTGAATTCTATAATAATTATTGCTAATTTTATACTACTATTCATTTTTTAGGCCGTGTTCAGGTAGATGTAGTATCGGGCGCCATCCTGCGAGATGGACTGACGACGTCAAAAAGGTGACCAGCATCCCACCCAACATCACACCACATCACCCAACTGCACCCAACATCTTCCGCATATATCCACTATATGCGGAAGATGTTGGGTGAAGCATTGGGAAAGACCTATATCTAATAGTGGAAATATACAAGCAAAAATAATGATGATTCATTTTTTATATAATTTTACATCTTCCAGAGATGACAACATCATTATTTTACTAATATTTCTTAGATGTATTTAAACAAAAATTAAGTAAATTGATCTAAATCATCTAGATTTACGGTTACGACATTGAATAGCAAGTGTATATATATAAATTTTCACATTTTTTAACGCATTATTAGTCGGATATCCGTGGTTTGTACACGTGCACAAGTCAATAAACCTAATCTGCGAGATCTCGTCACGTAAGTCACAACTCGTCAATTTTTCGTCACAATCGAGGCATCGGAGCAAAAATAATTTCTTGCACGCGCTCTCTTGTGTAAAATTGCAAATGCCATGCCTGGAGGCAACTGGAGGACTGGAGGTTTTTTTTGACGGTACGTTATAGGATTTTATAGATGTGGCGTGCTCGCTTTCTGGCGGAATGAAAACATGACGACGCGGATTCTATATTTAATTCACTTCTATCATTTTGGGGATGAGAAACGTTTATGTTATGCAATGTCTTTGTTAATTCTCGATGCCCTAGACTAGATGGTCTAGCCGTTTAGTACAGCATCTTTCTTCCTATGTTGACGGCTTCGATTCTTCGCACAGTAAAGAAAGAGCATTTTTTTTATGAGGAACGTACACCTGGTGCTGTTTGGAACCATTGACCCAATTGAAGGTGTTGTTTAGTGGTTTATGTATATGGATGGTGTGCTAAACCAATTTCGGTTCAATTCCTTGCACGATACATTTGTCTTCATGAGTGTGATTGTTTGTATCGGTCTGGGTGTTTTCTATTTATATATAGAAAAAATGATAAAAATTTGTTTCAATCGTGTAATATCAATAGCACAAGCTCTGCTTAGCATCAAACTAGATGACACTGTGTGAATTGTCGTCATAAATTAATAATATTAAAACGTCCGCCTCTATTCCACGTTGCTATACCTACCTATATGTGTGTAAATTTACTATATCATAATTGTGCAATGCAATATAAATAAATAAATATTTTGTAGTATTCTCCCTTTGATATGGTGATAATTTTTTTTTTAAACTATGATTATTTTTCTCGTTTTTTTTTCACAATCAAATCTAAAACTGATATTTATATATCAGAAAACAGTAAGAAATTAGTACCTACCGCCTCATAGTCATGTATGGTAACACGAATGACATTCTGTTCTCGAACCTCCACTTCTTGCACGGCGTGCCTGCTTTAGTGGTGGTACCTTTCTTGGATCTCTTTAGAGCTTGCCGCATGGAGTCTCTTAAGATTTTCCATTCTCGTTTGAGGACCTCACCTGAAAAGGAAATACAGGTATTTTCCTTGTTAAATCGTGGAGTACCAGTGGTATGATAAGATGACCCTGAGGTTAGGTTAGTTAGCCAATCGTGAGAAATTCTCCAGGAATGGTTTCTAGGGCAAACCGCGTGGTCAACTTTACATGGTATATTACTAGCAATGGGGTTATTAGAACACATTACTATACCTTCTCCCCCACGGTGGAGTGTTGGGTACAGGTTACTCACTGTGGGGGAAGGGGATTGTCAGTAACCTAGTGGGTACTATCAATATGTTATGTTAGGTCGGCTATCACGCTGTTCCCCTGGAAACCAAGCGATTTCATCACAATGTGTTTACTGACCTGACCTCATTCTCATCTTATCATCCTCCACTGGTACCCCGCCAGCATACACCCTAACCGCAGTGACGATTACATTGTCATTTTATTTCAGACTACTCTAATGCTGTTGACTGCAGCTGGCGTTGACACCGTCCCTCTAAACCGGATGGACTGAAGACCAACTCCCGTCTGACGGATTAGACTTTAGTCTGAGGACACCTCTCTTCTATCATTAACCCCTATTTTTTTATAGCGTTATTAATTTATATGGCAAAACAACGTTTGCCGGGACAGCTAGTTCATATAAAAAAACTTCTATTCAAAAGATCAACACACAAGTTTCTTGCTCATTCTTCTTGTGATGAATTTGCATTCCGAATGAGTGGTAGAATCGAAATATGACTATTCAAAAGTGCTTGTAATGAGTTTATTTCAATAAAGATTATTTCTATATCTACTAGCTACATGTATTATACATATAAACCTTCCTCTTAAATCACTCCATCTATTAAAAAAACCGCTTCAAAATCCGTTGCGTAGTTTTAAAGACTTAAGCATACATAGGACCGGACAGATAGTTTTTTTTTCGGACTACTCTAATAGCGAGGTAGGTAGCGAGTGCAGATGGCACTCCAAACCCGCGGAAGGACTTATGGAGCGGCTGAAAGCCAACTCCTGCCTGACGGATACGACTTTAGTCTGAGGACACCTGTAGGGGTTCAAACTTCAGCTCAGGTCGTCGTAATTTCGAACCCCGTTTAAATTGGATGGGGGATTGATCATCCATTCCATCCAAAAATGTTACTCACTATTAGCCCCGAGTCTCTCGGATATTTCTAGCCAGCAGCGATCCCTGACGTCTATGTCTCTGTGGCTCTCGTGCCTCGTATCATACAGCACCGGGTACTTCTTCACCTCATCGATCAGCCGCTCTCTGTACAGCCTGCTGTTCAATTCCATTAGTCTTGCCTTTAATACCTAATCTAAAATGAAACACATATTTTTTATATAATTAATAATAATAGATATTATTACAGGTTAGGGTTTTTTTTTTTTTTTATTTTTTTTATTTTTTTTTTTTTATTTATTTATTTATTTTTTCCTACTTGGCCTACCTCCCCACCGCTGTTTACAGGGTGGGCCGTCGTCTAGGTAGGGTCTTATGCTAGGGGGTACAGCCAAGGAAACACACTTAAGCCCGGATGTGAAGTTCCAGGTTTTTAACTTTCTTATTTGCTACACTTAAACCTAGAGGAGAACTTAATTAGGGATTTACATTTCTAAAGGTTATCTATTTTGTTTTTGTTTACTTACTACTATTTTAGCCTATTTGTATTTCTTACTAGTAGTAGTAAAAACTGTAATAGATATATTACAGTTTTTACTACTACTATTATTCTTTTTATTACTTATGTCTATTGCTTATCTATTATAGGTTAGGTTAGATTTATATAGTTTTGAAATTTATCACAATTCTTGCTATTACCTCAGAACGCTTTCTGATTATACTCTAAGATTAGGTGGGAGAGTATGCCATATGACTCGATGAGTGATGAGAGATGAGAGATGAGCTCGCCTGTACAAAAGTTTATAGCTAAACTAGCTGGCCCGGCAAACGTTGTTTTGCCTTGAAATAAAAAAAAAATTAGGTTGGACTACCCCTAACATTTAAGGGGATGAAAAATAGATGTTGGCCGATTCTCGAATACGCTCACAAAATTTCATGAGAATCGATCAAGCCGTTTCGGAGGAGTATTGGAACGAAACCTGTGACACGCGAATTTTATATATAAGATAAAGAATAAATAAATAGATATCTCAGGACAATTTACACAGTTCCATCTAGCCCAAGCTAAGCAGAGCTTGTTATGGACTACTACTAGACAATTAATATAAACACACGGGAATTATATATTTTTTGTATATACATAAATAATGCCATACCAGCTCAATCTGTTACCTAGAAAAGTTGCGAGGTAACAGATTGAGCTGGTATGGGCATGTTATGCGGAGCAATGAGAGCCATGTCTTATGGAAAGAGTATAATATGAATGTGGATGGATGTAAAGGGAGGGGACGCCCTAAGAAAAGATGGATGGATTGTGTGAAAGATGATATGAATAAAAGAAGAGTATGTTTAGATATGACGACTGCTAGAGAGCAGTGGAAGAGAATGACATACTGCGCCGACCCCAAATAATGGGATAAAGGCAAGGCAATGATGATGATGATAAATAATGTATATAATCACCCAGACCGATACAATCAAAAAATGCACTTTTTTACGGTGCGAGGAATCAAACTTGCAACCATCGGAAGCAAGGCGGTGTGTTAAAACGTTGTTGCTGTCTATATAAGTATAATGGAACTCAAGTTGACGATCCATAGATCGTAAATGGTAACCAGAAAGATCAGCACCAGGATGGACTGTGTGAAAGATGATATTATAAGAAAGGAAGTAAATAACGAGATGACTGCGAACAGGAATGAATGAAAGAGAAAAACATATTAAGTTATCATATGATGACTGACTACTGTATCACTCATGCGTAGCGAGATCAGATGATGGTACCATCTGCATATCCTGTAATTTCACTATCCAATCTCAACCTTTAACTGAAATACAACTTATAAATTAAAAAGGCGGCTAAAATGAGCTATTTGGCACTGGTCATCCGCATCCCAAAAGGGGTGAAGGTGAAGGTTTGGAACTGGGGTCGAATTCTTTTGCCCCGGCATCAACTTCGGGGGTAACAAACCCTGGGTAATTGCATAATGAGCCTCTTAAACTAACTTAAGCTAGCAACTCGATAGCAATGTTTACAATTAAACAAATTTTTGTCTAGTCAACTCGAGAGAGGTAAATACCTTCATTTACCATAAAATTATACGTGTTAAGACCCGGTTAAAGTATAAATTAACTTAACCTAACCTAAGAAGTAGTAGATACTAAAATAAGTGAGACAGAGTTAACCAGGTAATCACTGTTACGTACGCTACAGAACTTGTTATTATTTCATAAATAATTTACTTGTGTAATATTAACTACTGGCTACTCGCCCCGGCTTCGCCCGAGTCTACGTGTATCTAAATATATATAACTCAAAGGTGACTGACTGACGTAGTGATCTATCAACGCACAGCCCAAACCACTGGACGGATCGGGCTGAAATTTGGCATGCAGGTAGATGTTATGACGTAGGCATCGGCTAAGAAAGGATTTTGATTAATTGTATCCCCAAGGGGATAAAATAGGGGATGAAAGTTTATATGTTTATCTCATTGCTTTCTTGATTAAATTATTTTAGAAATATTAAAGCGTAGCGGTTTTTGTATTGATTGCTGCATGCATTCTTATGTGAAATGTGAATACTAATAACCATCAGATGGCAATTGTGAGTAGCTATGACGTGGTCTGGTGTTTTGAGTAGTCATGCTCACTAAAACGTCCAGACTTGTGGCGGCGTGGTGGGCCGGGTCATTGGGCTCCCTAAAATATGGTCGAGCGCAATGGTGGCTGGCTCATCCGTCATACTCGTGAACGAGTGCTCCTTGTGTGGACTGGTCTGCTCTAATCACTATGACTTATTTTCTCTTATTAATTGTTTAACCAGTTGTTGTATATTGAATGTTTTTTCTATTTGATTATTTCATTGAATTAGTGCTAATCGGTGGTTTGTATTCACACACTTAAACTTAAATTGTAAGTAAGAATAAATTATTTAAAAGAGCAACACACAAGTTTCTTGCTTGTTCTTCTTGTAATGAGACAGCATTCCGAATGAGCGGTAGATTAAAAAAAAAAATTGTTATGACTATTCAAAAGTGCTTCAATGTAAGTTTATTTGAATAAATGATTTTCTATTCTATTCTATTCTATATGACTTTGTAAATATCAAACCTTTGTAAATAAGAAAAGATTTTAATGAATTCCACCCATAAGAGGATAAATAAACACGAGCGAAGCCGCGGACAAAAGATAGTAATATATATATAAACCTTCCTCTTGAATCACTCTACCTGTTAAAAAAACCGCTTCAAAATCCAAATATTGCTTAGTTTTAAAGATTTAAGCATACATAGGGACAGACAGCGACAGCGACTTTGTTTTATACTATGTAATGACTACCTGCCCCGCGCGACGTCTGCATTCTCACTATATATCACCCAATTTACATAATATGTTTTTAAATTATAGTCTATGTGTTATTTTAATGTATAAGCTATGTTACTGTAAAGTTTCATCGATATCCGTTCAGTAGTTTTTGCGTGAAAGAGTAACAAACATCTATCGATACTCACAAACTTATAATATTAGTGTGATAGAAAGGTTGAACTATAAATTAAAGCATTAACACACTAAATACTATAATATCGTAACGATATCGCTTCACCCCACACTATTCACTTTGTCTATTTTTATTAAATCGGATCGATTGTAATGAAACATTTGTCTGAGATAGTTTTCTCATATCAACGCAATAAATGCAGGTACTTGTAAATTAAATTACACTCGCCCCAACTTTGCACGAATATACATTTATACATATAAATAAAATTGTAGTGTTTGTTTGTAATATTGAAGTAACCGTTTTTTACTACATGCATATGAATATAAATACGGTACATACACCAAAATAACATTTTTTACAATATTTGTCTGTCTATCTGTTTGTTCCGCCTAATTTCTGAAATGGCTGGACCGATTTTGACGGGACTTTTTTTAGCAGGTAGCTAATGTAATAGGGAGTAACTTGGCTACTTTTATTTTAGAAAAATAAAGTTAAATTCCACGCGGACGTGTCGCGGGAACAGCTAGTGTATAATACATATAAAGCTTCCACTTGAATCACTCTATTTATTGCTAAAAACTGCATTAAAAATCAGTTGCGTAGTTAAAAGATACAGGCGAACACACAGCGGAAGCGACTGCATTTTATAATGTATAATTATTAAGTATTTATTTAGATACTCACCTATAAAAAAAATGTATCCGATTCAGATCTGCTGACACGAAGTAGTCCAATCCATAATTCTAATCACAGATTAAAAAATTACAATATAAAACTTTTAATCAACTGAACCAAATAGGGCCGGCTAACACGGGTCCCCCGTGGCGACTCTCAAGCGATACTGAGCGAGACGGAGCTACGTTACGCGACGTTGCCGTTATGTGCCGCGATAGCTGTATCGCTCATCGCACTCGGTGGGTGGCATGGTTTAGCATAGATAAATGGACAGATGGCACAGATTTAATAAATATATAATAAATAATCTCAGGACAATTCACACAGTGCCATCTAGACCCAAATTAAGCTACCTAAAGCTTGTGTTATGGGTACTAGACAACTGATACAAATACATAGATATGTTTTTGTTTTTCGTAAATATATACATATTATACATAGAAAATACCCAGACTGATACAAACAATCGTACTCATGAATACAAATGTTTGTGCCGTGCGAGGAATCGAACCCGCGACCATCGGAAGTAAGGCGGTGTGCTGAACCGCTAGACCACCGAGGCCGTCAAAGAGTAGGCAGATGTCGGCATTTTGAAATTGCTTTTCAATAAATTTAAAAATAGGAGGCATTTTAGGTGTACTATATCCAAATAGTTTGTTTTAGAATGATTTTATAATCATTGTGATAGTATATAACAAATTCGCTGTCGCTGTCTGTCCGTCCCGATGTATGCTTATATCTTTAAAACTACATCTACTACATCAACTATCATAAATACAAATATCTATCCTGCATAATGTGAACCTGCGACCATCAGAAGTAAGGCCATCTGCTAAACTACTGAGGCAATTCTTGTTAATTCACATTAAATATGATAATATTTAAAGACTACATAGATGTATCTAAATATATATAACTCTTAGGTGACTGACTGACATAGTGATCTATCAACGCACAGCTCAAACCACTGGACGGATCGGGCTGAAATTTGGCATGCAGGTAGATGTTATGACGTGCCTACGTCATAAGAAAGGATTTTGATTAATCCTAACCCCAAGGGGATAAATTAGGGGATGAAAGTTTGTATGAAACTTTGTCAATTTTAAACCGATCGGGCTGAGACTTTGCATGCATAAAGCTACTATGACGTAGGCGTCCCCTAAGAAAAGATTTTGCTGAACTCCATCCCTAAGAGGAAAAATTAATGCGAGCGAAGCAGCGGGCAAAATCTAGTTATATATATTTCTTTGAGAAAGGATTTTTATAATCACCCCTAAGGGGTTAAATTAACGCGAGCGAAGCAGCGGGTAAGCTAGTCTATCAATAAACCTATTGCATTACACCGCTTGTACTTATTTTGATATAACAACATAACCTAAAATGTACAACATATATTTATATATATGGATGGTGTGCTAAACCAATTTCGGTTCAATTCCTTGCACGTTACAAACATTTGTATTTTTGAGTGTGATTGTTTGTATTCACAGTGTTTTCTATTTATATATACAAAAAATGATAAAAATTTGTTTCAATCGTGTAATATCAATAGCACAAGCTCTGCTTAGCATCAAACTAGATGGCACTGTGTGAATTGTCATCATAAATTAATAATATTAAAACGTCCGCCTCTCTTCCACGTTGCTATACCTAACAAGGTGTATATATGTGTGTAAATTGACTATATCATAATTGTGCAATGCAATATAAATAAATAAATATTTTGTAGTATTCTCCGTTTGATATGGTGATATTTATAATCACCCCTAAGGGGTTAAATTAACCCGAGCGAAGCAGCGGGTAAGCTAGTCTATCAATAAACCTATTGCATTACACCGCTTGTACTTATTTTGATATAACAACATAACCTAAAATGTACAACATATATTTGATTGTACAAATAGAATGAGTACCTTTCTTTCCTGTCTGCAGATCGTCAATTCTTTGCCCCTTTACGGTACAGACTGGCAGGCGGCGATGCGAGCTCGCTTTGTCTACACTACTCTACTCGCGTCTTTAGTAGAGAATTTTACGAGAGATATTTGAGAATGAGGATTTCAATTCCTTTGCCATTTTAATTTATACATATAAATAAAATTGGAGTGTCTGTTTATAATATTGTAATAACCGTTTTTTACTACATGCATATGAATATAAACAAGGTACATATACCAAAATAACATTTTTTTAAATTTTTGTCTGTCTGTCTGTTCCGGCTAATCTTTGAAGTGGCTGGACCGATTTTGATGGGACTTTTTGGCAGGTAGCTGATGTAATAAGGAGTAACTTAGGTTACTTTTATTATAGAAAAATAAAGTTAAATTCCACGCGGACGAAGTCGCGGGTACAGGTAGTCTATACATATAAATAAAATTGAAGTGTCTGTTTGTAATATTGAAATAACCGTTTTTTACTACATGCATATGAATATAAATGCGGTACATATATCAAAATAACATTATTTTTAATTTTTGTCGGTCTGTCTGTTTGTTCCGGCGAATCTGTGAAATCGCTCGACAGATTTTGACGCGACTTTTTTTAGCGGGTAGCTCATGTAATAAGGAGTAACTTAGGCTACTTTTATTTTAGAAAAATAAAGTTAAATTCCACGCGGACGAAGCCGGGGTTTCATCCAGTAATAATATAAATGCAAAAGTTTGTGAGTATGATATTTGTTACTCTTTCACGCAATAACTACTGAACGGATTTTGATGAAATTTTACAGTAATATAGCTCATGCATCAGAATAACATATAGGTAAATTTCACGCGGGTACAGCTAGTAATAATTTAAAGGTAACCAGTTTTATAAATATACCAGGAATCAGTTCATTCAAGATCATCCTGCTACTATTTCTCAAAATATGAGTAGAATAGAATAGATTAGAATAGAATAGAATAGAAAATAATTCATTCAAATAAACTTAATTTAAGCACTTTTGAATAGTCATAACAATTTTTTTTAATCTACCGCTCATTCGGTAATCTGTCTCATCACAAGAAGAACGAGCAAGAAACTTGTGTGTTGCTCTTTTAAACAATCCTTGTAAGTTCACATTTTACAAGTCGAAACGTGTGAATACAAACTACCAACCAGCACTAATTTATTTAGGCTCAAATATAAAAACACAATAAGATTAAATCAGTCGTAGTGATAAGAGCAGATCAGTCCCTACAAGCAACACTCGTTCACTAGTATGACGGATTAGTTGATGATGAATTCAAAATATGATGAGTTTTAGGTCTGGTCAGTTAGGACATCATTATTAGCGAATGTTCTGGAAATTTACTATTATGATTTCCAGAGAGAACCCCGTGGAGGTCGACCTATCTCCACCATAATTGTAGTTGAATGATTTTCCCATCCACAATCATACAAAAAATATATCATACAAGATTTAGTATTTGGGGCCCCATGTGGTCTTTTTTTTATAATATTTGTATTGAAGGTATGTTTGTCCGTCCAGTTGTGAGTCATTGTGTTTATCATATAACGTTTAACGACTTTTTTTTATATAGCAACTGATTTGTCATCGCTCGTCCCATTCTATTTGACAATTAATAAAATATGTATGTTTTAAAATAGCTAGTTATACTAGTTATTAGCTGCGACTATGTTTATTATATCTAAATATATATAATTCAAAGGTGACTGACATAGTGAGTGATCTATCAAGGCACAGCCCAAACCACTGAACGGATCGGGCTGAAATTTGGCATGCATATAGATGTTATGACGTAGGCATCCGCTAAGAAAGGATTTTGATTAATTCTACCCCCAAGGGGATAAAATAGGGAATGAAATTTTGTATGAAACTTTGTCAATTTTAAACCGATCGGGCTGAGATTTTGCATGCATAAAGCAGTCACCCTTGAGTTATATATATATATATAGATTATTATAACATATATACTAAACGACTAAACGAGAAAGTTTATAAATTAAAATAATATTTGTTCAAATAAACTAAATACAAGCACTTTTGAATAATCATATTTGTGAAACTTGTGAGTTGCTCTTTTGCATAGAATAGAATAGAATAGAATAGAAAATCATTTATTCAAATAAACTTACATTGAAGCACTTTTGAATAGTCATTACATTTTTTAATCTACCGCTCGTTCGGAAAGCTGTCTCATCACAAGAAGAACGAGCAAGAAACTTGCGTGTTGCTCTTTTAAATAATTTTATTATTACTTTACATTTTTAAGTTTAAGTGTGTGAATACAAACCACCAATTAGCACTAATTCAATTAAATACTCAAATAGAAAAAATATTGAGTATATAACCAACTGGTTAAACAATTAATAAGAGGAAATCAGTCATAGTGATTAGAGCAGACCAGTCCCTACAAGCAGCACCCGTTCACGAGTATGACGGATGAGCCAGCCATCACTGCGCTCGACCATATTTTAGGGTGCCCAATGACCCACCACGCCGCCACAAGTCTGGACATTTTAGTGAGCATGACTACTCAAAATACTAGACTACGTCAAAGCTACTTACAATTGTTCAGTTCTTTTTTTATATACATAAAGAATACACAATAACAACTAAGAGGCATGCGATAATTAATATGGAAATTGCTACGCACTCATTCTTAGTGGAATCAGATAATATTGTGAGCGCTATATTGTATTTATTATTGTTTTGACCAAGACCTGTTTTATTTTGTGACAAGAATTTGTTAATGTCATTGGGGCCACGAAATGGGGGCCTATTGTCCACAAAATAGTACACTGAAATAATGTTACGTGTATTATGTTATCAGCTGGGGGCCTATGGTCCTTGCGAGCCGGACAAAAAGCTATGTCAATATAAATACCATATCCCCAAGTTTAGCCAACAAGGTTGACTGCACAACCAGCATTTCAACGCTACAAACGATCTAAAATGAATCATGCCACCCTGTGTTAAGGACCAACATAACCGTTTATCATAACTTTGTTAAACAAACTGTTTGTAAGTACACCAATTCTGGATAGTCAACCTTATGCATTTGGGTTAAGAGTTGTAGAGACTGCATTAGTAACTTTGTTTATAATCCTGCTGTGGAGTTATTGTAACTCATTTGATATAGCAAAATGGGTATTGTGCTGTGGGCAATAAGTTCGAAGGACGTAAATGACATTTTGCGGGACAAAACATTCGTTTTCAGTCGTCC